CACTCTTCTGATTTCTGTCACTATCAATTACTTTGTCCCTGCTCTGAACATTTTATAAATAAAATCATACAGTATATACCCTTTTATGTCTGACTTCTTTTGCTAACATCATGTTTGTGAGATCCATCTAAATCATATTTTACTTATTCTCATTATTACATATTATTCAATTTTATGGTGAGTCCACAATTTATTCATTTTTAATGTTGGTGGTTTTCAGTTTTGCCCTCTTACCAATGGTGCCACTAGGAAGATTCTAGCATGTGATTTAGTGGATATGTGTATGCATTTCTGTAGGGTATATACCTAAGAGTAGAATTTCTGGGTAATTGGGTTTGCATAATTTCAACTTCAGGAGCCAGTGTTAAGTATTTTTACAAAGTGGTTGTACCAGTACATTCCTCCCAGCATGTTTTGGAAATTGCAGGTACTCTAAATCCTTGCCAGCACTTAGTTTTTATCAATCTCTAGTTGTAGGCATTCGTTTGGGTTTACAGTAGTATTTACTTACGCTTTTAATTTTGCATTTCCCTAAGGCCTAATGAGCTTGAACACATATCATGTTTATTGCTATTTGAATATTCTCTTTTGTGAAGTATCTTTACCATTTGTCTTAGGTTATCATTTTTTTATTGACATAAAGGAATTTTTTATATCTGTAAATGAGTCGATTGTTGCATAAATGTATTGCAGATATCTTCTGCAGTCTATGATTTGTCTTTTCACTTTCTTAATAGTGCCTTGTGATGAATAGAAATTCCAAGTTTTAATGTATTCTATCAATCCTTTCTATTTTGGTTAGCATTTTTAGTGTTCTATTTTAAAAAGTTTGCTTATTGAATGTTCATGAAGATACTCCACTTTTTTTCTTTTACTCTAGAATCTTTATTGTTTTTTCTTTTACATTTAGACTTACAGCACACCTGGAAATTATTATTTTTTAATTAAAGTTTATTGGGGTGACAATGGTTAGTAAAGTTACATAGGCATCAAGTGTACAACTCTGTAATACATCATCTATATATCACATTGTGTGTTCACCAACCAGAGTCAGTTCTCCTTCCATCACCACATATTTGATTCTATTGTCTGTGTCTATGAGTTTTTCTTTTTTCATTTGTTTGTCTTGTTCCTTTGTTGTTTTCAGTTTTATATCCCACATATCAGTGAAATCATATGGTTCTCAAATTTTTCTGTCTGACTTATTTCGCTTAGTATAATAATCTCAAGATCCATCCATTTTGCCACAAATGGCACTATTTCATCTTTTCTTATGGCAGAATAGTATTTCACTGTGTATGTATGACCACATCTTCTTTATTCAGTCATCTATCGAAGGACACTTTGGTTGTTTCCATGTCTTGACCACTGCAAATAAAGTTGCAATGAACATCGGAGCACATATATCTTTATGGATAAATGATTTTAGATTTTTGGGGGTATGTACCCAGGAGAGGGATTGCTTGGTCATATGGTAATTCTATTCTTAATTTTTTGAGAAACCTCCATACTGCCTTCCATAGCAGCTGCACCAGTCTGCATTCCCACCAAAAGTGTATCAGGGTTCCTTTTTCTCCACAGCCTCTCCAACACTTGTTATTGTCTTGCTGATGATAGCCATTCTAACTGGTGTGAGGTGATATCTCACTGTGTTGTTGTTTTTTTGGTTTTGTTTGTTTG